GTTTTTCAGATGTGCCTAGAAATTTAGAGATAATTTTGTGCTACTATTACTTTCATTTCCCATCCAAATGTCACAGAAGAAATTGAAACTCATCAGACCTGGCAATATTTATCAAATATTTTATTGACTAATTATTTTGACCTTCAGTTTCTTGTTTTTATCTGACAGGAGTGGCACACAGTGTGATCTTCTGTTAATGTAACCCATCTCCTTCAAGGTTCAATATGTAGGGCATTCAAAGATGCTCTTCTGTATACCTCCATTGTAAAGATTGGTTATTTGAGCTCCTGTTGCTTTTCTATCAGCTTGAACAATTCTAGCCATTTTCCTATGACTTCTTTTATCAAAAAAAGATTTCCACCCACAGAGTTGCTGCTCACTGGATTTTTTTTCTGACTATTCTTTGTAAATCCTAGAGATGGTTGTGCATGAAAATCTGAATAGATCAGCAGTTTTTGAAATAATCACGTGTCACATTCAAAATCACTTAAAATGCCTTTCTTTCCCATACTAATGCCTGAAATGAAATTCAGTAGGTCATATTTAAATGTCTAAATCTATTTAATTGCTACTACATCATTTGCTGATTAAGAATTAACATGAAATCTCATTTGTTCACATGCACTTAAATAGTACGATTAGTTGTTTCCCTACAAGGAAACTTTATGACATTTATTAACTGAGCAGCCAGTACTGCTTTCGGTTAAAATTTATAAAATCATTTCCTTAAACAATTTTTCAGAAAAATATGTTTTTCAAGTCCAGTAACTGTTATTGCTCTTTCCCATATTGACGGGGGTTTCCTTCCTAACCTTTTATTTGAAGTAGTATGAAATGTCAATACTTTGATTATAACCTTATTTTATCTTTGTGTTATGCATGCTATCCACTTTAGTTAGTGCTACTCTTCATAGTCCTCAAGTGATGTGGTTTCTATTATCTGGCACAGTTCTTTGTTTGCTGTAGTGCCAGTCTACAATATTTAAAAGAGGATAATTTTTGGCAAAACACTCAGACTTCACTCACTCAAAGCCTTTTTAGCGCTCTTAGAAAGCAGTTGTATACTGCTGATAGTTTATATATTTCAGAATGTGTTTCGTGCCATACATGATATGAATATGAAAGTCTCAATCTGATAAGACTATATAAGAACATTACTTGATGTTTTTGGTTGATTTTTTTGGTTCTGTAGCAATTTGTGGTGTTGGACAAAACTAACTCTGGTGCAGCCTATTCTATGTTCAGTATCTTTTTGTCCTATATTTAATTTGCAATAACTGATCCATATACTGAGGTATCTGAAGTTGTTAGTATTTACTAATTCTACATGCTGAATTTTTATGATAGATTTAGTATAGGTGCCATCACTGTTGTCATTCCAATTCCAGATTAGAGTTTCTCTTTCGTAAAAGTTTATCTTGAGCCATATTTATTGGGACACTTGGTAAAGGATGTTGATTTTCTGTTCAACATCCTTCTTATCCTAACCATGAATGCCTATGTCATCAGTATAGCTCCCTCCCACATCATCAGTACATTGGCTTTGGAAGGGAAAGCAGGATTATTGTCTTTAATTGATAGATCTGTTTTGAATGTTGTATAGAATGCTTAAATGGTCAGTGTTCATCTCATCACATCTATGTTTGAAAATCTGAAGCCCATATTCTAGAAAGAGATTAAATAGACTGGACTTTCATTTCCTCCCTACACTCCTGATGAGGTTTGAAATGTTTCCATATTGTGTTCCTCACTAGTCTTGTAAGATTCTGTAGATCAATAGAATACCTATATTAGATCAATGCATTCAGTGGGTTTGGGGCTTTGAACAGGAAGTCTCTATTGATATGAGGTTGACAAAGCAGGCATATAGTTTTCTCTTAGAGAGATAAGCAATTTCTTAGAGTTGTTTGATGACATGTGCACCATCATTCATTGCCTCCCTTATAGATCAATGAATGCATATGTACCTTCTTTATAAAAGATAGGTGTCTTAAGGGTAATTTAATCTAGGTCTTGCATTCACAAATATAGACCAACAAATTGTATATTAACTTAATCCATATAAGTTATTTATCTTCTTTTTTTATCCCCCATCTTAACCTGTTTTCATCCCAATTAGGTCTGTGCAATTATGACAATCTTACGAATCATTTTGCATCAGTAGGTTCTTATTTTTAGAAATATTTTAAAATAGATACAAAAGCAATTATTCTTGGCTTTGCCATTGAGTCTAACCAAGGTTTTCATTCTCTGCTTATATTTCTGCTTGGACAGGCAGGCTATTTTTCCCAATGATATTAGCTCTAAATAACTCTATCAAGTCATATGTGAAGCTTCACTAGAGATGTAAATATCAATATTTTATGCACTGGCAACCACATTTCACCTGTCTCTGCCATTTGCACATTACCTGCTGTAGAACATTAGGTAGCAAATAGGTCTTCTATGCTATTGCTTGTGAGTTCAGGCCTTAGTTGGTTCTTCATTCTTGTGAGATTGTGCCAGATTGGGTGAAGCTAAATATGTCTAAAGAAAGTGCTAAAAAATAAAGAGAGTTTTACTTAGAAACAAATGAAAGAGTGTTAAACTAATATCTGGTAACCATCTTTCTCTATGGTAGTGAATGCTGGACAATTTCTTCACAGATGGAGTGGAAACTAGAGATCTAGCTGTACAGAAAGATGTTCAGAAAAGTACATATGAAGCATGTGAGCAATGAGGAAAATTTAAGGAAAACAGAAACAAAATGGATACTTGCACTTATAATCAGAAAGAGACAGTTGAAATTTCTGTGATACATATTGAGGAAAGAGGATTTGGAGAATTTAACCCTCACAGGACATAGTGAAGGCAAAAAAGGACAGTGGGAAACATTAAGTAAATGGATGGGCAGATCAGGGACTGGAAAAGATGGTAAGGAGACAATCATTATTTTGAGCTATGAAGGATAGGAAGTTGTAGAAAGCCATCATCATATGTTCTGAAGGAATATTAGACATAAAAGAAGACATGGCTAATATATAAATATAAGTTCTTAACAACATATCTTGCTTGAAATGCAGTGCCTAGTTTTGTCAATAAACAAAAGAGGAATTACGGCATTTGCATTTCAAATTTGCAATGCAACGCCTTCTGAAATAATAAGCACCTACCAGAACCAAAGAATATATTGAGATACCATCTTCTGAGGCTCTTGGACAATTGGCATAATAACAACTTATTTTCAGGATTTGATCTTACAAGAATAGAATGATTTTCTCTTCTTTCAGTTTCATCTTCTACTTTCAAAATGACAATACAGGGTGCAATGGAAAAATTGTCATCTAAATTACACAAAAATAAAAATAACACTGACATTTTAACAGATATATTTACAAAAATTAAATAAAAATATCTTCAAATACTAAAGAGTAAATTTATTTAACAAAATAGCCATTGGCTTAAACCACAGCCACTAGACAACTTCAGAATCTCCTGCAACTCTCCAAGTTTATGTTGCTGAATGTTGCCATAATCCTTGCCTTCAGTTAATCTTTGCTGTTACAAGGTGTTTTTTTGGTCTCTCACTCAACTGTACCCATGCATAATAATCAAGTGGGTTGCAGTCTGAGGAGTTAGGTGGCCAGATGTAATAGGTAATGTGATCGCAGAAATTTTTTTGACAGCCATGACAGGGTTTGCCTGCATTTGTAGCATGATGCAGAGTTTTGTTGCCAGAAATAGGGTCTCCCAGCAGCCACCTTCTTGGCTCAGAGCAGCACTACCTCCTCAAGGCACTTGATGTAGACCTCTGTGTTGAATCTGAGACCCTCATCAACAAATTCAGTAATTCTTTACTTATCAGAACAATCAGAGTGTTTTCCAAGCTGCTGTATCTTTGTAATCACAATTAGACTCATCTAACTCTTTCAGAATCCTTCATACTGTCTTCAGATTGACACTTAAACACTCTGAAATATTCATATTAGAGTTTCCAGCACAAATGCCAGACAGTACAGCATGCTGTTTCCAAATTTTTGGTGTAGAGAATTGCATGATGGTGCTCTTTTTCTTACAGATGGTACCCAACTGACCCTACTATAATGTGCAGTCTACAAAATCAAAAACAAACAAAGTGTTTGCACAAAATGTAAAATATAAAAAAATATATAAATATGTTCATCATTTATTTTCCAAATTTTAAGGATTAAAATGTTTTTTAAAAACTTCTACTTAAACTTGATGAATATTATTCTCCAAATATATTACTGATTGAAACATCAAATTAAACATACTCAGAAAACTAGTCATATAAAATATAACAAATATTATCTTATATATCAGTACATTATTGGTTTTAATAATGAAAGTTAAAATGTCCCACTGAGTGAATTTGTTGTGTTTGTGAAGAAAAACTGTAAAAATCTACATAAATTAATTCGATAAAATGGACAAATTCCACAGACTCAGATTATAGCAGACACATTATTAGAACAAATTTTAGTAATTAATCAGTTAAAAAAAAATAAAATCTCTTTTTATTGATAATTATTATTTAGATATGATACTCCTATTGTGTGGATAACTTAAAATTTAATTATAATTTGCAGCATTATTCTGTTAAATATTCATACATATTCTAGTGTTTAATATTAGTTCCACACATCATAAAAGACAACCTATTAAGTAGCTTGTCTGAGTTGATATATTGAGATATTGCATCTTTTCAATAAAAGAGGGTTTTTTTTATTTTGTCTGAAACTAATGAATTAATGGAACATGTTTTAATAATATGGTCATCAAAATTTGAATCTAATTTGTTCATTTCACCAAATAGTAATTTATATAAATTTTTAAAGATTTCCTTCATAAACACTACAAAAATCTATTGAAAAGATCAATATACAGGTCTTCTACAAATCAAGCAAAATAAAAGAGCTGGCTGATGTTAAATAGAATATATGAATAAAGTATTTGAACAACAACCACAAGATCATTGCTCTGTAATTATTTCTACTTACAGGTCTCCTGACATCTGGTAGACACAGCCAAAGAGTGAACATAATTGGAGCTAAAAGAAGATATGAGATCCTCTTTTTATTTTCCTTTGGCCAGCTAATGTCCAAAGGTTCTTCAGGCTCCTCCAATTCAACTGCCGGAACAGCAATTGTAGCTGAAGTTTCTTTCTGAAAGTTAAAAAAAAAAATGCACATGCTATTTATTTTGGCTAAAAATAGATAAAACAATTTCAAATGAAATTTTTATTCATGAAACAAAAAAAGAACAAAACAATCTCAACATGCAAGCAAAGCCTTTTTTTAATTTTAAAATGGCCTCCTTTTATTTTTCACAGATTATGAGGTAAGAATAGAAATGTTTGTATCACACTGATATTTTCTTCTCTGGTTATTGAAATTATATTTACTATTCATACTCTTTTGATCATAATGATAAGGGAGCGCTGAAAAGTTCTCATCCCAACCTACTACCCCAAATCTGGCCAAATGAACAAACATCAGAACTTTTTTCTGGAAGGTCTTCTTGGTTAGATTGAGAAACTTTTGCAACTCTTTGTAAATTAAATATATCTCAATTGAAATACTATTTAGTAATAAGCATAAATTTATATGCTTAATTATCTAAACATTAACAGTTAATATAGCAATGAAAGTCAAAAACAAAATAGTCCACTTAAAGTTAATTTCAAGTGAAACACTTCAAAGCAAGAATCTAGGAAAATTATAGTATTATTTTTATGCAGAGGAAGTAAAAAATTTTCTATTAGTTCTCAGCCAGAAATTGAACTTTTCATAATTATTCAAGTATTTATATACAGTTTTATACACAAATGAAATCAGAATAAATAAAAGTACATCTCTCTTCTGGAGATTTTTCTTTGATCTACTTTCCTTTTTTTTCTTACAAGAAGAATTAAGAGACACTTAAATTTGATTTAAGTTCTCTGAGAAAGTTTTGAGGAAATCACCCAAGATATTTAATATTCTAAATGCCTATTGATTTTGGAAGGTATGTTTTTGATAAAGAAAGCCAAAGTAGATCCTAATGGTTGGTTAAGATAAAGACTTTCAATATGCAGAGAGAATATATACAGCATGTCAGTATATAACCTTAAAAATCACAATAATATTTTCCATCCATTAACTGCACAGATAGTTTTTTTTTAGTGAATCTACCATTCTTTATTTGTTCTTTATTGATCCTTTGGCATTAACAAAAGATTTTTACTTTTTTAGTCATACAAAATGGTGCTGGTGAATTTCATTAATTATATAATGAAAAACTTAATGAAAATAAAAGGCCTTTTTGATATTGCTTAAAAAAGTGTTTTCCATACAAAGTATAATGCTTATGATAATGAACATGAGTATCTATTAAATTGATTTATGATACAGCAAAAAAGAAAGATGCTGACTAGAATGATTCCTTAAATTTTTATTAAGTGAAGAGAAGACATTTTGCAGAAAGATTCATTGCATTTGATCCTGACTTATTAAAACTGATGCCTATTAAAACCACTTAATTATTTTTCTTTTTATTATTAACTCTTTGATAACAGAAGTTCTGAGCTATATGACTGGAAATGAAACAAAGCAATGCAAATAATCAAGGAAGATAAGAAGAAAGGGATTAATACCCAAACTACTTCTGTCTATCAGAACTAAATGTATAACTCTATTGAATATAAAACAGATTTTATAAGCATACGCTGTAATCAATGTCATTTAATTATCAAACAAATTTGTACTCTACAGTTTCTGATAATATACAAAAGTATTTCTTTGAAGCCAACAATCACAAATGTTATATAATCGCAAACACTGATTCTTTTGGTTAATTTTTTCCTTAAATAAACTTGTAAAATAGTGTAAGGAAATTTGTCCTCTGACCTTTTGGCATTTCTAACAATTATTGCAATTGGTCATCACTTAAATTAGAATTTAAAAGATCTGACAACATTTGATATCCTCTTTCGAAAATAAAAATGTTTAATAAGATTGTGTAAAATGTTGACAAAAAGTTTTCAATCTCTTTTTTATACCATTTTGCACTCAAATTAAAAAAGATAAACTTCAAATTAAAAAAGCTAAATTTCTAAATCCATTTGAGGAAGGTTGGAGTGGTTGGAAGACAACGATGAAATGCTGGATCACTGAAACAAATGAAACGATGGCTTCACCCCTACTGAGATAACATAACCTGTACTTAGTCAGACTAAGTATATATTATGCTATCTCAATAAATATTATGCTATCTCAATAAAGAAATTACCCCACCAATGTGCATGAAAACATGCAATCATGTACAGAAATATTTTCCCAACTTTGGCACATGATCGCCAAATGAGGGCCAATGTGTAAATTGGTTAATTTATAATTATTTGTCTCTGATTATATTTTTTGTTCATTTGTTTATTTGCAAACTAATAATCTTTCTGTAATAATAAAATTTTAATTTGAAATTCAGCTTTTGTCAATTTGAAATTCAGCTTTTGTCAATTTGAATTTCAGTGTTTTTAATTTAAAGTTAACATTTTTATTTTGAAGTTGAACTTTTTTAATTTGAGGGTAAAAAGCTATAGTAGCTGTTCAATCATTTATATCTTTTTGTTACTTTTTCATCACTGATGATAACAAAAACAATATCTCACAGCAAATAAAGTTGATATTTATTATTATACCAAGAAAATAGAATAAAACATTCTTTGCCAACATTGCCCCTATTTCTATGCCAATTTTACTCAAAAATAGAACAAATACAAATATTAATATAATTAATCAAATAAATATTGGTATTTCATGATAAAATAAAAAGATGCAGTTGGAATAAAAGTGCCCCATCCCCTGATTTTTTTTTCTTTTCTAAGAATGTTGTAAATCATCAAGCCAACTTGAAGGGAATTTAAGAAATGATGTGTGTTTTCAAAGATATTCCACTAACAGCAGCTTGCCTTGTTGACTAGAATTAGACAAGGTTAGCAGCGGTTCGCGTAACACCTCAGAACCATTTTGGGAGTGGTGTAAGGAGTCAAGGGCTGGGAAAAAAATCAATAGATGAAGATTTTCAGTTTTATTTTAAAATATTTCAAAAGACAAGAAAAAGAAACTGTCCCTTCAAAAATGACAAAAGAAACACACAATGAGCTGAAGGAAAAATATTAAGAAATGTATTGTTAATCCTTATTTTTATTCTTATCACAATTCTTCAGGCATAAACGTTTGATTGTCAGGTGACATATTTCATGCACACAAAGACACACATATGCACGTTCGTGCAAGTAATATTTTCATAGGAAAATAACATTGTGAATATGGTAAACTTTGACCTTTGTGCCTGCAAAAACAGAGCATAAAAAGACAGTTTTTCCTTAGACAACACTATTATTTTAACTACCTTCACCACTCAGCAGTGTTTGTTATTTTAAAAAGTAATGATTAGAAATGTAACAAAACCTAAATATATGATAAAAGTGAATTTATACATTTTTTTTTTGTCCTTGAGAATTTAAAAAAAATTACTATTTAAAATAATAATAAATAAATAATATAACATTAATCATTTACAAATTTATAAAGAAATAAATATGAAAAACAATTTTTAATCCATAAATTTATTAACATTTACTAAATTATAAAAATATATGAACCAGCTATAATAAAATCCTTATTATTTACCATTTTATAAACTTTGAATTGATTGAAAATTATTTGATATTTTACCAACCATTCCAATAAACAATATAATGAATAAATAGTGATTAATATTTTAAAGACAAAAGAAAATGTATAAATTCACTTTCATATGTTTAGGTTTCATTAAAATCCTTATTGCTCTTTAAAACAATAAACACTGACAAGGAGTAAAGGTAGTTGAAAATATGATTGGTATCAAGGGAAAAATCAGTTTTTTTTACAGACTTAAATGTACAAGATTGCCATGAAAATATTCTAAAAGTGACAGGTAAAAATTCAAGATCATCATAGTGAATTATTATATAAGAACATTTGTCACTTATGAATTTACCTTCAGCATGACACCTAATGGTAATTGGACATTATATCTATGAAGATGATATAACAATACTGATTAAAGCATTAGTCAAAGGCAAATATGATGCCTTATAATAAATTAAGTGTAAAGAATTTGATTATTATTCATGCTTTCAAAAAAGTGTACCTATTTCATTTTCTATATTTTATCAGGATATTTTTAACAATTAAATTTCTAAAATTTTGGATCACAAGAAGAACCTGCTGATATATTCTGATTATCATTTAGTCAAACCAACTGATTGATTATTTACACAATTTACATGCAGACTTTTATCTTCAACTTTCCTGTTGTTATCACAACATTTCAGCCATTGTGCCCTCCAGCTTACATGAGGTGTTGATCCGATTGATATTTGACTTAAATTTATCAAAAGCCAAAAGATACTTCTGTATTTATGCTTTAATTTTTATTTATGACCTTGCAAAGAGCTTTTTATATTAAGTATTGTTTCTAAGTTTCACATTAAATTTTTAAAACATCAGTTATATTGTTATAAACAAATCATTTTTGTAATTTTTATACTATCATAATGTTCATGTCAGATTTTATTATGCAAGTCAATGTTTTCTAAATAATTGATGCTGGTAACATTTACAGAATGTATAGCATGTTAATTTCAGCTCATATATCTTTCTATTAAAATTACTTACAATAACTTATTTGTTGGTGTGATACTTTATTATGTCCCTTGAAAGTTGTTGATATTTTAAATAAATATATTTATAATAGTATAAAGTTATTTATATTCCAATTTTTGGACTGCCATAGGAAAGATATAACCTCAAAAGAAAACCAAGATATAAAGTTATTGATTAATGGGAACACAATTTTGTGATAATTGGGAACAGAAATCATCAAACAATCAAAGAAAAAAATTGAAGACTTTGTAAGATAAGAACAAGAAAAAAATTTACTTTAAGAATGTTACAAAAAAGAGATCTGAGAAAAAAAAAAAAATTGGGTAATAATCTAGAAAAGTGGAATGACCAGCAAGAAAATAGTCAAAAAAGGTGATGTTGGATGTGCAAACAGAGAGAAAAGATGCAGAATGCAAAGAACATTCAAAAAATGCATCAAGGTAACCAAATTAACACCAGGAAAAAATGTAAAAATT